ATTGGGTGCCTAAAGCATTAGGGCTTAATTTTTTTGAGGAACCCTTTGAGAAGGACTGCTATAAACTTTAATAAAGTCATAAATTCACACATTGAAGATATTCAGTACATTCTGCTTTGCTTAAGGGTAGTGGCCTTTTCTTTCATATCATCACTAGCATTTCATTAGTGTCTTAAATTATCACACTTATTAACCTTATCAGCCATTATCATACAGACAGATATTAGGTCATAATGTCTAACTGCTGGGGCTTGAATCTGTGCTCTGTTACAAACTAGGTGATTGCATCACCTCTCTGCAGTGGGGACAATGGAGAGGAGATAATGCTCTCAGACTCTTTTTTTAAATAAGCAAACTACCAAATAGTTTACTTTCCCCATGCCTATGGGAAACTTGGGAAGCACCAATGTTCCCCTCCTGGATTGACCAAAGTAATTTATAAATATTCATACTTTTGAGAAAAGAGATATTTAATATTATTTGGCAACAAATGCACTACTGGTTGTTTTCAATTTTCTCCTATGATAAGAAAAGCTGCATGTCTGTGTACTTGCTCTCTTATTTCTGTAGGTTAAATTTTGGGGGATTTCTGGCCAATTTATAAACATGTCTTAAATTTTGATTACTGTTATTCAACACCCCCCAGAAAGGTTATACAAAAGTATAGTTCACAAGAATACCCATTTTCCCATATTTGTCTTTGTTTATAGTTTGTAGGGTTTTTAGGGGGGGTGTCGTAATAATAATGCCATTGTTGCCAGGTCCCATCAGTCTTCTTGGGGGGGGAGGTACTTTGCTGGTGCTTCAACCATTTTTCTGCCTGGCAGGACTTGAGTATGTACAAAACCTTATCAGGTTACTCAGTTAACCAGCAGCTCCTTGAGTACTCAGATTGTAGGCTTAAAGGTAAACTGCAGAGATATAAAAGAGCTTTAAAAATTGCATTTAGAGTGCCTGAAGGTGTCTGCCAGGGTTCCTTACATTCTGACGTCTGTGTAAGTGCAGGGTCTGATGAGAGTGCTGGCAATACAAAGGTGAGGCAGTAAATCCCTCCCAATAACATAATCTCCTAACCCTGACAACCGTCTAACAGTCTTTCCAATTATAGCCATTTTGTGGATTCAGGTAAAGCTTGAGAACAAAACAAATGATAACCAGAGTTTTGTATAATTTGTCTTTTTCGTTATTGCTGTCTTTTTAATTATATAATACTTCAAAACATTTTGCAGTTCAGTCCTTGGCACGTTTGGTTCTGTTTATAAAGAAAGAGTTCCTAAACTGAGCTAGATCAAAAACCGCTGCCAGACTGAGAAGGTTTGTTGTCTCTAAAAACAAAATGATAAGTCGTCAGCCCTTAACAGAAGGATAAGTTGCTTTTTATTAAAACACATACCTCTTTGTATGTCAAATAATTGAGAGACTGACTCTCAGACACCCTTGTTTTAATCTAGAGTCTTAAACTTTCAGTTGACAGTTTCTTAGCAAATATACATGTATGCTTAGTTTCTAAAGTTTTACTAAAATTTTCCCATGAATTTAAGGTTTAATATCTCTATGCTGGTCACTATGTATCAATTCCTATACTGAAGTCATAAATCATAAGCAGTCGAGTATATATAGGTAGTGGTTCAATGGACATTTGATAAGTCAATTGAATTTGAATTGTTACATTTTATAAGCATGTTACTTAATAAAACAAAAAACTTGCACTGTAAATAAAACAAATTTAAATAGTTCTTAGAAAATGTCATTTGTTGTTAAATGATCTCATCTATTTAATATTCAAATCCAATAGCATAATTAATTGTGAATACGTTCGCACAGACTTACATGTAAAAGTCAACAAATAGATCCTTGCTACTTGTGTGAAGGGGCTGTTTAACCATGAAATAACTACTTTTGTTGCCACTGCCCCGTGGACATGTTCTCTCTGGCAGTGCTGTCCATATTTGGTGGCTCTGCATGGAGAGCCAGGTGGTGCTGAAAAGCATCGCACAGTGAAGCGTGGACATATCTCTGTTCGACATTTGTCGTCTCTTACTGCTGAAGGGCAGGGTAAAATCTGTTTTTCCATATGTTTATGCTTTTTTTTTTGCCTGCAGTTTTGTCCAGATGGTCTTATGAACATTGTTTACTTTAGGATGTTATCCCAGATGTTTTGAAAACTGATGGGTAAATGTGGTACACAGATACATAAATCATTTACATGTTATGCTTTAAAAATGCTATTTGTTCTTATAAGATTAAAATATAATTTATTTCTGAAAATTTTCCCAAGTGAATAATATATGTTATATATGTAATATATTTATATATAGTTAATATAATCTATATAGTTTCCTCAATCACTCTATTTTTATGTTAATAAGCTAAAAATTACTATGTCAACATTTATTAAGAATATTAACTAAAGGAAATCTTTTGAAGAGTCATATCTGTTCAGGGTTGCATGGACCCAAATTTGTAAGAATGTTGCCCTACTGTCTTTTATAATTCTCCTCATTGTACATAAATCACTGAAGACAAATTAGGTGGTAAAATGACAAGGATTTATAACTAAAAGGTTATCATTATGACTGTGGGCAAATCACTTCACCTGTTGGAGACTGAGTTTTGTAAATGTAAAATCAAAGCAACAGCCTAGTACCAAAAAATGGAGTAATGCATGGCTTTAATTACTCTTTTATCTTGAACCTCTTACAAACAAATCACTATGAAACCATCTAGTGGCAGGAGCTACGGTGAGGGCTGGAACCTGCCGATTCCAGCCTCCATTTGGAACCTCAGATATAATAGGAAGAAGTGAACTGTTCTCGTTTGCAGACCCAGCCGGGCTCACAGTGGGGTTCTTGTTTGTGTAGTGCTTTTTAAGCACTGATGGGCTTTTTCCATTTGCTCTTACATTCACTTGTGAGTTTGAATACTGCCTGGCCTTTTCTTGCTTTCTGTTTTCTCCATGCCTGGCCTCTGCACTGCAGTGACCTCTGTTAATTGGACTAGCCTTTGCTGCTAAGCTCTAGTAGGGGGTTTAATTCGTATCAGTTATTGTAATATCTGCAGGACAGGAGAAGAGATCTCCCTTGTTCTTCACTGTGTTAACTTGGAATTCTAGTCTTGGGAGTTAAAAACAACTCTTCATTATGTGGACAACAGACACCCAGTAACCACCGATACTGGTTAAAGTATAAGCAAACAGGAATAAAGGGGCAAAGCAGGTAACAGGGTTTATGAAAAAATATTGCGTCATAGAATAAAAGTTAAGATTTGAAAGAAAAATCTTTTCTGAGCCATCAGTTTGCTAAATGATAGAAACATCTTAGATACTACCAATTCATTTCTCTCTGAGATATTTCCTCATGTGACAGATTTCAAGGTGTGAAGTCAAGCTTTGTTTGAACCAACAGTATGTGTGTGACGCCAGTCTGCTAGCACCCGAAACTAACGTTTCTCTTTACAGTGGTTTCTTGCTCCTGTCCAGAGAATAGGGCCACCTCCACTCCTGTTCACTTCCCGTAATGCTTTTGTGCAGAAGGGCAGGGTGGGGAGGGGATGTCTTAACTTATTTTCTCTTAAGAGCTCATCAGGGACATGGAGGGCTACTAGTCTACAAGTCTACTGGATTTGTTGTTTAATCTTGTAGGTTTTCATTTGTATTGATTTAAAAAAATTTTTAAAAAATATATCTTTATTGATTTCAGAGAGGAAGGGAGAGAGAGAGAGAGAGATAGAAACATCAGTGATGGGAGAGTCATTGATCGGCTGCCTCCTGCACGCTCTCTGCTGGGGATCGAGCCTGCCCCCCGGGCATGTGCCCTCACCAGGAATTGAACCGTGATCTGCTGGATCCTAGGTCGATGCTCAACTGCTGAGCCACGCCCGGCTGGGCTGTACTGATTTATGATGATGATGATGATGATGATGTATGTTCTCCTCAACATCACACCCCTGTGGAAGAAAGAACAGGCATAAGAGACATTCCTTGATCTCCATTAATCTGATTGGAGGGCAAATAGCCAAACATTTAAAAGTTAATTAACAATGCAAGGACCTGTCAGTATCAGATGACTAAAACGTATAATGTGAAGAACTACAAAATCTGAAGGTTGAAAGGAATTTAAAACAACATTCAGTGAAAACCAAAAGATTTGAGAACTTAGGAATTCCCTGTCAAACCTCAAATAATAATGATTCAGAAAGTAATCTGCTGTGAAATAGATTTAATTAATCGTGTTAGTTCACTAATACTTATATTATAATTCTGTTAATTTTTAACTTTTTTTTGACAATTTCAAATGCAGAAAAGTTGCAAGAATAATACAAAAAAATTGCCACTAGATTTTTTAGTTTCATCATTTCTTTTGTTATTAGTTGACATTCTCTTGTAAGGAAGAGTTTTTCCCTTTTATCCCCATTTTAAAATTACTTATCAATTCAGAATCATGTTTGTTTTGTTCAGTGAATAGTAATCTATTAGTGCCCTCTTTAGTTTGAGATTCAAATTGTTCCCCAAATTCAAATTCGGCCAGTGGGAACCTATTGAAAATGGCACCTGTGTATTTGGACACACTACGCTTGCTTATTTCCCGGCGTAATAATGTTATAGGCTCACTTTGCCCCTTTGCTGCCCCAGCTTAACAATCAGCCTTTTCTTCCAGGAGTCTACATTCCTTGTAGTAAGGGATGGTATTTAGAAACCAAGATCTGGATCTCTTGTGCTTGTTTTTTACTTTATTCTTTTATATTTCAGTTTTTAATTCATCTGGGATTTATTCTGCTATGTAGTGTGAGGTACAGATGTGTATATTAAAATGAATGAAAATTAATTGCTTTAGCAGTAAGATACAAAACTCAAGACATTTATTTGTGTTCGTGTTCCTGACCTTCAGGAATACTGATTCAGGGGAGACAGCTTATTTAATTTGAAATAATGCACTTATATTATGTTGGATGATATATATTTAATCTTACATTTCATGTCAGCTATGTTTTCTCCAACTTAGGTGCATTTTCTAGAATTATAAAACTCTGTGAAGAAAAATGTGAGACAGGTGAAAAAAAGAAGGGAAGAAAAGGCAGCAGTGTGGCATCTGTAAAAGGAATTACGAACTTAGGAAATACTTGCTTTTTTAATGCAGTTATGCAGGTAAGAGCCATCAGAAAGCTTTGGAAAATGTAAAAGGTAATTTTAATTCATGTTTGTGTACACACCTGTAGACTGTCAAATGACTGCTAAATGTTCACCTAGAAATTTCTGTGTTCTTTTTGTTTTAGGCTATCTTTAGCCATTGTCCCACGAATACATAAACCTTTTTCCACGGTGCTTATTAAATGTCTTCTCTGTATTTTACCGTGGCTCTATCAGTAACTGTGACATTTCTAAATGTAAAATGTATTCAATTACATTTTTTAACTTAAAAAAATTTTGCTATGCTAGATGGAATTTGAAAATTTGTGAGTAATTTATTCCATAAAATCGGAAGCATAGAATACCTGAATCAGAAGACTTTCCTTTGTTTTCTTTTAGAACTTGGCACAGTCTTACATTCTTACTGAACTGATGAATGAGATAAAAGAAAATGGTACAAAACTCAAGATTTTTCCTTCATCAGACTCTCAGCTGGTAAGAAGTGTAACTATCTGGATAAAAGCTCTTTTGGGATGAACCACTGATGTTGCTGAAATCTATCTTTTCTGTTTCTCAGAACTATCAACGGAGGTGGTAGTTAGAGAGTTTGAAAAAATAATTCAGAAATATTTTGTGAAAATTAGAAAACAGACATACTAGAAATAACAAAACATGTTTGACTTTTGTTAAGTAAAATGTTTAGGACTCCTGTTTTGTAGTTGCTGGTGACATTTGCTTAAATACAGCATTTTTAAAAAATACATTTTTATTGATTTTAGAGAGAGGAAGGGAGAGGGAAAGAGACAGAGAGAAATATCAGTGATGAGAGAGACTCATTTATCTCCCTCAGTGCATCAAGTAATAAGCCCACCTCGTTCAACTGCAGGTGTGTGCTGGTGGCCTTTGGCTGGAGGGCATTGACACTAGTAATAATGATTTTAATTAGAAATTGGTGTGTGTGTGTGTGTGTGTGTGTTAGTGGAAGAAAGAGTGTATGAATAGCTCATGACCTGGCTTTCAGAAACACTTACGTGTCCTCACAGTTCTTAGCCCAATGTAGTAATCTTAGATTTTTCTTCCAAGGAGGCAGTTTTGAAAGACAATATTGTTGTATTTTTTTGTTGAAAAAGCAGACTCTAAAGTCATTGCCTGTCCAGCCCCTTAACATTTCATGGTAGATCCCAGTGTCCTCTTCTAGAGTGAGTGAGACAGTCAAGGCTCCTTCACTAGGTGAGTTACCGCTTAGTCATCTGAAAGGCTTCCTGTGAAACGTGATTGTCTGACCAGTCCCGTGTGGGGCTGTGCCTCAGGGCCGCTCTGTGGAGCTGGTGTTGGAGCTGGTCCTTAGGTCTGCTCGTTCCCACAGGGACAGTGTCCGTCTCGGGCCTTAGAGCTGGCCTGAGTCCACTGCTCTGTCAGTCACCAGTCCACTCGGCCTTTGTGAGCTGTAGGCCTCCCTCCCTTCCTCTTCCTCCTTCCTCCTTCTCCTCCTTCCTCTTCCTCCTCCTCCTCCTTCCTCCTCCTCCTCCTCTTCTTCCTCCTCCTCCTTCCTCCTCCTCCTCCTCTCTTCTTCTTCCTCCTCCTCCTCCTCCTCCTCTTCTTCCCTCTTCCCTTACTGTGCTGGCTTGAACCACCAGTCGCATGTTGCCTGGAAGTGACGAGAGCAGATTTCCTCGCCTTAGTCCCCAAGTTAGGCAGAGAATCCAGCTTCTCACTGTTATGAAAACTGAAGTTGACCGCAGGTTTTTATAGGTGCTCATCAGATTGAGGGCATTCCTTTTGATTCCTAGTTTTCTGAGAGTTTTGTCATGAATGGATGTTGAATTTTGTCAAAAGCTTTTCCTGCACCTGTTAAGGTTATTGTATGTTTTTCTTCTTTATTCTCTGTTAATGTGGCTGAAATTACATTGACTTTCAGACCTATCTGGTATTCATTCCTAGGACAAACCCCACTTAGTTATGCTGTATTATTATTATGTTGCCGGATTCAACTTGTTAATATTTATATGCATCTCAGCAGTGTGCTTACTTTTAAAACACTATTTATTAAACTAAAGTATTCATACAGAGAAGTGCACTTTGTAATTACATAGATAACGGGCTTTCACAGAGTGCGCACACGGAGCTGACGCTGACCAGCGCTTTGCTGGAGAAGCAGCCCGGCGCCAGCGCCCGGAAGCCCTTCAGGTTGCCTCCGCTCCCTCCCTCCCTGCATCCCAGGGGTGCCTCCAGCCCGGTGGCTAACGGGACAGGTTAGCTGTGCCTCTTCTAATATCACACATCAGTGAAGTCATACAGCATATGCTGTTTTGTATTTGACCTCTTCCTGACACAGGTCAGTGAGATTCATCAAGGCTTCATTGCATTCTCATTAGCCGACTTGCTTTTGTTTTCAAGTTAAAGTGTACTTTTAAAACTAGGTTTCTTTATTCAGTTAATTCTGAAGATTTTCACTTGTCTAAAAATGCTTTATTTGGGGTTGGGGGATACTACACCTTAGTGCTTGGGCTTTGAATGTGCGTTAATCCTTCCCACAATTTAAACTACTTTTGTCCAGCTTTTTGTCTCTCTCCTTTAAAGACAAAGATGGTGTGCCAATTTTGTGACGTAATTTCCCATTCCTTATTTAATAGTAAACTATTTGGGGGGGGAAAGGGTGTGGAGTTTTGCTAATAAATATAATTTATGATTATTTGTGAAGATGTACAAATATCAAGTAGATGAATAATTTTACTTTTAGGAGAGCACATTAATGGACAGTTACAAGCAACTAAAAATTGGAGATTTCATTCTTAAGCTAATAGTTTTATTAAGTAAAGGGCAGATGGTATGAGAATACCTGTGTTTTTCAAGATAAGGCACTTATTCCCATTTTTCATTTTTATATATTTTATATATGAGGGAATAAAGTTTCTTAATACAGTTGAGGCAACTTAGTTGTCATCATTTAAACACAATATAACTGATTTTAAACAATATACTGTATATTTCTGACACAGAGTTGATCATGTTTTTAAAGGATCCATTAATGGTGGAGCTTTCAAGCCCTGGACCACTGACCTCAGCCTTGATCCTGTTTCTTCACAGCATGAAGGAAACTGACAAAGGATCGCTTTCTCCTAAAGCTCTCTTCAGTCAGCTTTGTCAGAAGTGGGTGCACCTACATTCTTAATATAAATAGTCATGAGTCACAAAGTACTCTTGTGTTTATACTTATTATGAGTATTTTCAATCTTACTGTAACATTGCTATTATTGCCTAGACTACCAAGAGAAAGAATTAACATTGTTTAGTTGCAGCTCTGTGTTTTATGGAAATTATATCTCATAATACTCTGAAGAAGTGACTATGCCCATTTTATATGTAAGGAAACTGAGACTCATGCAAGTTGACTTGTTTACCTCGTTTCATAGCGACAAAACCAGGATTCAAATAGAGGTCTGTCCTAACTCAGAAGCCCATGATATAATATGATAAAGTAAGAAAATTATAGAATTGTAAAATCTAAAAGGTGCTGTAATGGATCATCTAACCTAGTTTATTTATTTTAAAAGATGAGCTTTGAGGCAAATAGAGTTTAAGTGAATTTCTCAAGATATTACAGTATGTCTCAAAACAAGATCTTTGAGTGCCTAGAAATAAACACATACCATAAAGGCCCTGACTTAACTTTAACATATTTATTTATTCCTTCATCTAGAAAATTGAGAGCGTACTCCGTTGTCTGTACTTGCTAGAATTCAGGTACACAATGTATCATGTATTAAAAATGGACCTTGTCCTGGAGCTCATAAACTAGTCCAGTCCACAATTAACTGAAATGTAGAAACAAAATTCTTTAAATATGAACTTGCATTTTTGTATATCTACAATCTTTAAAATTTCATTTTAACTTAAGCTCATTATCTGTGCCATGGTATCGTATTGTGTTTTATTGTATTTTATCTCATAATATTGTACCAATGTTAATTTCTTTTTAAAAAAATTTATTGTGGAAAGAATACATCATGAGCTCTATCCTCTTAAAATTTTGTGTGTGTATAATACATTATTGTTGACTATAGGCACAGTGTTGTGTAGCCGATCTCTAGGGCTTATTCGTCTTCCTTGACTGAAACTTTATGCCCACCGATTAGCAACTCCGTATTTCCGCCTCACTCCAGCCCCTCACAGCCACCATTCCACGCTTTGATTCTATTAATTTGACTATTTCAGATTCCTCATATAAATGGAATCGTGCAGTATTTGTCTTTCTGTGACTGGCTTATTTCACTTAGCATAATGTGCCATTGTATTAAATTTAGTCCAAAATATAGAGGGTATGTTCTGTGTTTCATCTGCTTGGCAAATGCTGTTTTTTCAAAGCCTGAGGAACAAAAAAAAAAAATCCCTGAAAAGTCTTAGAGACATGGGTGCCTCATAAAGTTAAGAAATTTTTAGGATATTATGTGCTTTAGAAATTTGTTTTAGACTCTATCCAAAATAACTTTGTTTTGTATCATTTTTTTCTGGTTTTATAAAGATTTTTAAATTTTTAATAAATTGTTAAAGAGATACTCATAGATAAAAATTCAAGTTTGTATTATGGTTTTTTATTTTGAAAACTGATTATGGCCCTAGCCAGTTTTGCTCCGTGGTTAGAGCGTCGGCTCTCGGACTGAAGGGTCCAGAGTTCGATTCCGGCCAGGGGCATGTACCTTGGTTGCAGGCTCGATCCCAGGCCCTGGTCGGGGCCCTTGTGGGGGGTAACCAGTCAATGTGTCTCTCTCACACTGATGTTTCTCTTTCTCTCTCTCTCTCCGTCCCTCCCTCTTCCTTTCCCTTTCCCTTCCACGCTGAAAAGCAATGGAGAAAATATATCCTCAGGGGAGGATTTAAAAAAATTAAAGCAAAAAAAAACATAAAAAAGTGATTATGCATATACAGATATATAAAAATTATCTGCAACTTGCTTGCTTTGTTTAATATGTTTTGTATATCTTTCCATATAGTACATGTGGATATAACTTATTTGATTTTACAGTAATCAAATTTTGTCTTTTTTAAAAATTTTTTCCATTGCTTTTCAGAGAGAGTGGAAGAGAGAGAGAGAGAAACATTGATGTAAAAGAGACACATTGATTGGTTGCTTCCCACATGCACTCGGACCAGGGCCGAGGATTGAGCCTGCAACCGAGGAATGTTCCCTTGGCTGCAATCGAACCCAGGACCCTTCAGTCCGCAGGCCGACACTTTAAACACTGAGTCAAACCGGCTAGGGCACATTTTGTCTTTTGACTTTGTACAAAAAGTAAATTGAATCTTTGATTATATGTTATTACAAAGTGATTTTAAATATTAGTAATATATTGTTGATGAAATGATCATTCTTTCTTTCTTTCCTGTTTTGTTTTTAAATCTTAGGGCCCCTCGATTTAAAAGTTTTCAGCAACAGGACAGTCAGGAGCTTCTGCATTATCTGCTGGATGCAGTGAGGACAGAAGAAACAAAGGTCAGGTTTCTTTATGTTTATCTCGTATACTCTGTAAGAAGAGGGTTCAAGACGGGAGGAATGAATTCCTACTGTATTTTTATGCACGGTTGAGAAGTTAACTTGATTTTTTTCTAACTATTGTATTTATAATTAGTTAAATTTTGGGGACATTAGCACAGTCCCCCATGAGCTAAGATCTTATCACATTTTCTTAGATCTAGAAACATACGAAGAATAGAGATTCCAACTTAAGTCTTTCTGACTACCAAACAAACGGTCTTAGTTTAGCTTTAATGTTTGGTCTTCAGTGACTAGGATAAATAATATGTGTTGTTTTTAATTTAAAATTTAACCATAATTATTTCACTATTTGAAAATTTATTAAGTCTAACTTAATAATTCTGTTGCATTGATACTCTAGCTGAGGGGTCCATAAAGTAGCAGGTGGAGAGAAATGCTCTGTCTTTGCATTATGAGCAGTAAATGTATTTTGACGCTTCTGAGCCTACAGATGATATAGGAGTTACTTTAAGATTAATCTGGACTATCAGTTGTTAGAATAATTTTTTCCTATGATTTTTAGGAATATGTTTACTACATGGTGGTCATGTATCAATGTAAATGGAATTAAAAATTGTCTCTTTACGTTGTTTTTCTCTGTTGTTATCACAAATAAAACAATGACATCTATCCCTGTCATTTGTTTCTATCTCACGTCTATTACTTGATGGCATTCTTTGTTTCCAATTAAATCATTGTTTTGTCATAATGGTGCATTGAGATTCACAGCATCTTAAACACTCGGGAAGTAGAGCAGGAAACACTGGCTTCTGAAAGCTCTTGGAGGGTTTTAGATGGCGTGGCGAAATGAAAATGTCAAGCCTGTGGGTCTGTTCAGCCCTGTGAGCGAGGGCAGTGGGCGCGTCAGTTACAGTGGTACCCGGGCAGGCGCTGCATTGTCGGCCTGGGAACCCACAGCTGTTCGTCGCGCTGCTGTTGTCCTTTGTCACTGCCATGTGTTTTTTGATTGAAGAAGGGCCACAGCGTTATGTCAGCCACCAGAATCTTTTAGTAACGATTAAAAACTACTGACTTCCTTTCCTATTAAAGATTTTTTTCTTACGACAATCAAGTTCAGGACTATAACGTGCTCTCACTGAATAGAGGACTAAAGGGATCATTTGTGCAAAATATTGTAAATTTTTTATGTGCAAATAAAATCAAGTTTGCTATAATATAAGCAGTCTTTTCAACTTACAAATATATATGCTTCACTTTTTTCCTTTTAATTTGAGCTCTCACTAAATTAATGTCACACTTTTATTGTCTTCTCAAAGACATATCACTTTAATACATTATTGGACAGGATTATTTTAAAGCCACAGTATCTCGGTTAACTTAAACTGTGAGTTTTTTTGCATTCTTATTTTTGAAAGAAGTTTAAGATGGAGACTTGAAATAGTTGAACTTGGATAGTGCTATTTGATTAATGTGCTGTGATTGTTAGCAGTTCCCTGACCAAAGTCTATCTTTTTTTTTTAACCTAAATGGTTCAAAGCACAGCTCTTAACGGTGAGAGATTGTGGATGGATCTAAACCCATTTGTCTTATTGAGCTTGATGAATTATGTATTAATTAACTTTAACAGTATAGAGCAGAGAACATAAATTTGTGGCTAGGATACAATAAAAAAAAGTTTAATAGTTTAAAAGTTAATAATTTAATCAACTTTGCTGTTTTTAACTCTTTTTTGTTGGCTTCTTTCCTGTTTTAAGAGTGTGATATCAGAGCTTACGTTTTATATATTTAAGTTTTTGAACTTTGCATTAACTTTCAAAATACACTAGAAGAAAATAGTGAGCAGTTCCAGGAATATGCACTGATCATAGGCCAGTAAATAAACAAAACTCAGTTCCACAGTTATTGGGGGAGGGTGTTAAAAACTTATTAAACATACCATACATACAGAAGAATGTATACAAATAGACAGACAGTTTAAAGCATAATGTAAATACCAGTAGCAGTCCTCCTCACCTCAGAGTTAAAAAAAATAGAACATTATTATTAGTACTATAGTAGCTGCCTGTTCCTTTTTTTCCACAAACGCTTTTTTCTCATTAAAGGTAACCATTATTTTGACTTTTACAGAAGTCATTCCATTGCTTTTTCTTATGGTTTTGAGAGCTACTGATGTATGCTTAAACAACATATTTAGTTTTGCAAAACTGGGTAGGTAGCAAGCACAAACCTGTCGGCATTTTTGGGTGAAGGCTCCCAAAAGAAGATGAGTTGAGAGCATCTCTGGATTATAATCTGGCTTTGGCTTTCTAGCGTTTACAAGAGGTCTTTCTGTGGAAGTCTGGGCTGAGTCATGAATGTGTCCTGAGCCAGGCCCTGCAAGGTCAAGGCCACTAGCAGAGGTCTCTCGTGATTATTTCAAATGTCTTTAATTTTGTTGGTGGGTTCCCCTTTTTTCTTAGGTGTGACGTTGTGCTTTTCATCCTTATTTTAAAATTAGCGAGTGGGTGTATTTATCCCCCAATCACAGAATCAGTTTATCTTCATTCACTCTCACCCTGTACTTTTGTTCAGTGTTGATACTCTTTTTCTAAACTTACAGACTGCTTAATTTACTTGTTTTTATTCTTTTTAATTGATTCAAGGCCATGAATTTTATTCTGAACGGTGGAAGGTATTATGGATTCTGATATGTAGTGTTTTTATTATTGTCTGGGAAATCTGCAGTTTGGGTTTAGTTTCCCTTTGACGTAATAATTTTTAAACAAAATTATGTATCATTTTTACACCAGAAAGTCCAGGTCAAACAGTGGTTTCACATATGAAAACCTGCAATTAAGACTTAACGAAATATTTTGAAGGATAATTAACAAACATTCCTTTCACCCCACTGTTAAAATGTGAATTAGAGAAGGTTAAATTTATCCATTAGTTAGGGGCATCATTAGTGTAAAAGATGATTTATTAGCTTAGATCTAAGTTTTTATTTTTGGAATATATAGTTTTAATTTGTTCAAAAAATTTTCTGTGAGGTTGGATCGTTCCTAAAACATGCAGAAGAGATGTGGAAACAAAACTTTGAGGACATGAATTGATATTCTGAACTTTAGTCATATATTTATATAAATAAAATAATCTATATGGAAGTCATATAGATTGTATATTAAGGTTTTCTTCATAGACAAGAAATTTTATGTGGTCTATTTGTGACTTTTTGTCCTAATTAAGGAATACATCATTTTAGGGACAGAGTTGGGGAGGGGGGTGGGAGGAGAGGGAGACAAATGGAGGGAGAAGGGAGAAGAGAAAAAGGGAGGAGTTCCTCTAAACCCATAGAATAGTGAGACTAGGCTGCTTGCTCTTTGTACACTGAGAAAAATACTTTACACCCAAGAGAGAACCTAAACGTAGGACCTTTCACTCAAATTCCATATTCTCCCCCAAATAAGAAGATTGTTCGTTCATGGAATTTTAAGACTGGAAGAAAGGACATATTTAATTTTACAGACTAGGGAACTGAGATCCAGTGCACCTTGCTGTTTGAAAGTCCTTCTGTTAGTAGGAAGATGTGGCTGGAGTTAACTGTAACTGTTCTATTTAAAGGAACACAAAATACTGCTTTGAAAGAATAGATTCTTAATAAATTCTTATTAACTTTGTTTTATAGAGAATACAAGCTAGCATTCTGAAAGCATTTAACAACCCAACAACTAAAACTGCTGATGATGAAACTAGGAAAAAAGTCAAAGGTATGTTGATTGTCTCACGTTTAAAACTCATCTAGAAGAAAATGTTAAAGTTTTTTTATGGGGGGAAAAAGAACTCAGCATTATGTGAAGGAATGCTCTAAAATAGTTGCCTTAGAATGAAGGTATATTTATTCTGGTGGCTGCAAAATAGTCCAGTGCATCATAGAAAGAAAATGTTAGAATTTATCCATGAGAATTTTAGAAAATAAGAGTAATATCAAATATACAGATGGACACTGTTGCTCTTATAGGAAGGAGGTTCTAAGGGAGACTTGAAGGTGGTTGAAAGTAGCTTCCTTACTTTACTTGGAAGTTCACTTTTATCATATTGTATCACTTTGCAGTTGAGGTGTGCTTGGATGAGTGGACTTATGGGTTTTATCTAGTCCTAAGTAGACAAAATGCTTAAATGCTCCAACGATTCCTGCAAGGAAACCATTTATTGAAGAAAGTACCAGCAGGTCAAGAGTACATGTCTGACCTGTTAACTCTTCATCAGCCACAATCTGAGGCAAAAACAGTGATTATCTACTCAAAGCTGATCACTTATAAGTATTTAAGTGTGGGTTTCTAGTCTATGTTACTAGTGATTTTCCATGTCCTAAATGTATATTCTGCCTTGAGATATTAACTAATGGTAGTATAAAGTCATTTTTAGAAGACGCTTGAAATATTGTTTGTATTTTATTCATTCTTTTCCTAACTTCTGTTTTTTGTAGTACTGTACATACACACTACATGTCTGTAATTCATAAACAAATATACGTTGTGGTTATATATGCCGACCCTTGTACGCCATTAAGGGTGCGAGCTTTTTTAAAGTGCAGGTTTTCAAGCATGCTCTTTTGTTTAGAGAGTGCCATCTAGAGCACGTTTAGAATAACTGCCCAGCTTGCTTTCATCTCTTCCCAGTTTTGTAATCTTTTCTATTGTTAATCCCTGGTACGATTTTTCTTAATGAAACATCTTCGTTTACCATAATCTCTCAATAGTTATAATGGGTAAATGTTTGTTTATGTCTCCAGATATGTCTGCTCTCTCGTTCGGTGCTTCAAATAATGTTCTTAAACAGTAGAAAATACATTGTAGAAGGTAGAGACCCAAAAAGAAGTTTGAAGCAGGAGTCAATAGATTTGTTAATATATTTCCCCCAGTGTTTACTATGGAAAGTGTCACATTTCTATTAAAGTGGAGAGAATAATGTATAAAGCCCCATGTCCCCATCACCCCACTTACTACATTCAGTTTATGGGGGAGTATGTTTCATCTGTTTTTCCCCAGTCCCAGATTATTTTGAAGCAAATCATAGGCATAATTTCCCTTGATATATAAATATTTTTCAAACAGAATAATTCTGGCATTTTTAATATAAATGAGCAGTTCTGTATGTAACTGAGTTAATTGCCATATTACTTATTTACACTGTGCTGTGTTTACTTGTCTTTTACTACTCTGTCATTTCCATAGTTAGGGTCCTGACATCTGTAGCCCTAAAAGCATAATCTCCTTTCCCATCCCTCTCCCTCTAGGTTAGGCACAGAGGCTTTAAGGATTGAATGGGAGCATTTGTGATGTACTATGAGTCGTGGTTTTTGCTCTACTTATTTTACCTCTTAAGAGCAGTTTGTTATTTCTTGGAGACTATAGTCATTGATAGTCACATTTTCTCTACGGAGTTGTGAAGGAGAAAGACATTATAATGTCATATAGTAGAATACATTATTAAATGTGGTACTGGACATCTATCTGCCTTAGATTTCTTTTGAGTCAATAGAATAAAACAACCATATTGTATTGTAAGGTTGATGGTTGACCTGTTTTTGCATTAAAAAGTATTATTTTTGCAGCATATGGAAGCGAAGGTGTGAAAATGAACTTCATAGATCGGATCTTTATCGGTGAATTAACTAGCACAGTCATGTGTGAAGAATGTGCTAATGTAGGTACTTTGAAATTCATTTCAACATGGAATAGGTTACATACAATCAGCAGCAGTCACTTTTATTTGTGACAGATGGCTACATAACAGTTTTTGAAAATCTTCTTAAAACATATCCTTCACTCCTGGAAAGTAAACATAATTTATAATTTTTAAAAATAAATGTTTTATTTTATTTTTCCTCCCAAGAAACCTGTAAAGTTCTCTTAGCTTATTTTAATATGCTCCAATGTGTTAGCTACTTGGTTGGATTGAAATAAAAGAAAGTTCTGTAAAGAGAATAACCTTGTTATGTAACTACAGGGTCAGGCAAAAGTAGCTTTACAGTTGTTTGTATGGAAAATAATAGAATAATTAATAAATATTAATACAAGAATAAACTCTGTGTTTTAAGTACTTACAACTGTAAGCCTACTTTTCCCCACCCTGTATGCATTGCCCTAAAATGTAATTCCAATAGAAATAATTTAATGTAGTAACATAGCTTAGGGTGATCCAACACATTTGATTTAAAGTTTACTTTTATATGACTTGTTAAAGTTTATTTATTATTATTATTAAGTAGACTTGACTCACCGTTGAATTTAGTGATAATTTTTATTTGGTGGAATGCTATCTGTCCTTTAACAACAATGTAAAGACGTATACATTTTTATAGGCTTTCAGTTGCTTGGTAGGGAGTATCTCTGAAAGCATACGACTTAGAGTATGATGAGTTTACACTTTTGTTAGATTTCATTATAAAAGAGAGAGTCTTTATGTGCATTCTCCTGTCCCAGACTATGGAGTGTTTTTCTCTTCTCTCATCTTATTCAACCAGAGTTATATATTGTATCTCCTTCTAGCCTGTCACATTGAAGCACAGACTGTCAAGGAGATACTACTTAAATCTCTAGTGTATTCAAAATAGAAGTTGATTTCTCTCTCACAAGCTGGAGAGTGTCTTTCAAAACAGAATTATGCTAAAGAATCTACAAAACGCAGTCAAACTCTGGCTTTTTTCATGACTTTTTCATATTTTATTTATGGTATGGCACTAATTTCACCAAAAATATGTTTATATCTTTAGTTAATAATTATTATTAAACACAGTTTATTTTGAAGTTACTTTAAATATTACTGATATTGTGATATTGACAACATTATAAAATTTAACAGGGCTGCATTTATTAAAGTTTTGGGATATCTTGTTTTGATTAACAGTACATGCTGCTATACCCAATTAAATTGCTATTTGTTCCAGGAATGTTTGTAACTTAAAATTTTAAGTTGCCAGGGTAGCCTGCTTTCTTTCAGCTTTTACAAAACTACATTGTCTATATTAGAATTCTACCTGAAGTTCTCAATCTGTTTTCTTTTTAAGATCTCCACGGTGAAAGATCCTTTTCTTGATATTTCACTTCCTATAATAGAAGAAAGGGTAAGAAGAAAAAAACTTAATACATCTTTTATGAAGGGCATTTACTTATTCATATATTTAGACGTTTGTCGAGTATGTTATCAGATCTCTGAGAGTCATTTTTTATATATGGTAGTTGTTTGTACAGTGTAATATTGGGGTTTGTGTATGCATGCATAAACTATGATATCATTCTTATTCTCAAGGAATTTAAATCCTTATGTTTTATATTTTGAGATTTGAGAGTTAATGTTGAGGAAATTATATTTTGCATGAGTTAGAAATTTTAAAAAGTAGATTGCATCCAGAATGTATGTCCTAAAGAAGTTTTGTGTCATGTACATGACATCTATATAGGTTTCAAAGCCTGTACTTTGGGGAAGAACTAGTAAATATAGGAGTTTACAGGAGACACGTAATGGCCAATACAGTGGCCCTGTTACTATAGAAAATACTCCTCAACCCAGAGCCATCAGGAAGCAGTCTCCATCTAAAGATAAGGTAAGATTATGTGTATTTGTGAGACATCTGCTTTTTAATATGAAAAATTTCAAATATATACAGAAATAGAGAAAATAATATAATAAACTCCTGTGTACCTATTTCTCAGCTTCATAGTTATCAACTCATGGCTAATCATGTTTGATGTATATCTCACATTCTCCTCCTTCCCCAGATTATTTTGAAATAAAACCCAAATGTATCATATACTTCAATGTGTTAATCTAAAAGATAAATGCTCTTTTATTTTTTATTTTATTTATTTTAAAATATATCTTCATTGATTTCAGAGAGAGGAAGGGAGAGGGAGAGAGAGAGAGAGAAACATCAATGATGAGAGAGAAGCATCAATCTGCTGCCTCCTGCACGCCCCCTACTGGGGACTGCGCCCAGAACCCCGGCATGTGCCTGACCAGAATTAATCTGGTGACCTCTGGTTCATGGGTTGACACTCAACCACTGAGCCACACAGGCTGGGTAAGGCTTATTTTTAAATTAGAACTACTTGTTAGTATATCTTATACTGGTTATAGTTTATGTAGATTTAGGAGATGGCTTTTAGATGTACTAGAAATAGTATTTATTTTATAATTGTGGAACATTTAAATAAGACTTACTGACATTTATTTTCAGTAAGGTCAAAAGGTTTTTTTCTCTAAAAACACTGTCAATTTACAGAATCAACTAATTCATGGCAGAAAACGTACAAGGAAATTGTCATCTGGAGAAGATAAGGCTGTTGTCATGTACCGGAAAAATGGAAACATGGAAGTGAATGGGGATTCGTCAGTGTTCGCAGGCATCAGGGACGCTGGATCAAGCCTGGCCGAAAACCCTGCCGAGGGCAGTGAAAAAGAGGCCGGCCGCTGTGAGAGCAGCGCTGACGCTGACAGCGAGGCCTCGGAGTCCGAGAGCGCTTCTAAGCAGGCGGCGCTGCCCAGGCCCGGCAGCGGGGGCTGC